GTCTATATCCTCATGGTTGTTCTCACTGGCTTTTATTCCTCCACTTGGTTTGATATTGTGGGGGAGGAATTTAATCAACATTATACTGATTCTATCTGCCACATCATTAATGAAACCTTAAATGGGCTAGAGCTTGCAGCAGGTCCCTGTGGCTACACAGCTTCCTCCTTTTAATCATTACGTTCTGTAGGAGATATTTCAACTGATTTTCTACCTGTAAGCTCAAGGCCAATACATTAAAATTAATTCAGTAGCACAATTACTGAAATAAGATATGTCATTACCACTTCATTCTCTCTATAAACTGTCTGATCGTGTATTTTTTCCAAAAAGTAATTTTTCAATTTAACTTTAATGGCACTTTATAAACTTCAATCAAATTTATCCTTGCTTTAACATAGTTACATTTGCTCCATGATTTTATTGAGAATCCTTGTGTATTTTTATTGCCCTCTCTTGTGCTGGTTCACATTTCTCCAAACTTTTAGGTGTGATAATCCTTTCAAATGTTTCTTACTCCTACAATCATTTTGGATAGAACCATTATTTCAAACAGTGCCCTGACCTTTATTTATTTCCATGCATTCATTCATTCAGTCGACACATAATAAAAGTTAAATTTTCTCTGCAGAAATACACACAGGAATAGGCATAGTCCTAGTAATAGGAATTACAGATATGATTTAGATAGCTCTGTCCTTGAAAAGCTAACAAATTAGTGCCAGAGATAGATTAGACACAAGACAGACAGATACCTCTATTATAATAAAGGCAAAGCAAAGTGTTTTTGTTGTCGTTAGGTGCTGTCAGTTTCAACTCATAGCAATTCTATGTACAACAGAACAAAACACTGCCTGGTCCTGTGTCACCCTCACATGCTCCAGCCCATCGTCGCAGACACTGCATCATCATCTTGTTAAGGATCTTCTCCTTTTTCACTGACCTTCTACTTTACCCAGCATGATACTTTGATCCTTTTCTCCAGGGACTGGTCCTGTCTAACAACACGACCAAACTATGAGATACAAAGTTTCACCATTCTTGCTTCTAAAGAGCATTCTGACAGTACAAGACAGATTTGTTCTTTCTTCTAGCAGTCCACAGTATATTCAATATTCTTCCCCAACACCACAAATCAAATGCATCAATTTTGTGGCCTTCCTTATTCGCTGTCCAGCTTACACTTGCATACGATGCTATTGGAATACCAGGCTTGAATCAGGCACATCTTAGTCTTCAAAGTGACATCTTTGCTCTTTAACATTTTAAAGAGGTCTTTTGCAGCAGATGTGCCCAATGCAATATGTCGTTTGATTTCTTTGACTGCTACTTCCATGGGTGTTGATTGTGGATCCAAGTGAAATGAGATCTTTGACAACGTCAGTCTTTTCTCCATTTACCATGATGTTGTTTATTGGTCCAGTTGTTAGTATGTTTATTGTTGTTGTTGTTGTTGTTGCTGTTTGCCGTCGAGTCGACCCCGACTCATAGCGACGCCTCCTTGGGTTTCTGAGGCAGTATCACTACAGAAGTAGGATTGCCCAATCTTCCTTCTGAGGAGTGGCTGGTGGGTTTGAACCGCCAGCCTTCTGGTTAGCAGTCAAGTGCTTTTAGCCACTATGCTACCAGAGCTCACTGGTACATGGAACAAAACTGAAAATCATAAAAAGACTAAACTTATTGGTCAGATAAAGACTATTGGAACCACCAAGACTATGGTCCTAGGTCCTCCTTCATATATGGAACTGAACTCACTCCCATAGCTGAATTTTCAGTCAAACAATAGACAGGTCTACAAGATGAACAATTACTCTAGAAAGGTAGACACTTCTTAGAACAATCAACCATTCAAGGTCAAAAGGGCAGCATCTGCCCAAGGACAAAGTTCAGAAGGGAGGAAGGATTAGGAGAGAAGGAAGAATGGTTATGTTTATTAGCTGAGGTATAATCCACACCGAAGGCTATAGTCTTTGATCTTCTTCGGTAAATGCTTCAAGTCTTCTTTACTTTCAGCAAGCAAAGTTGTGTCACCTGCATATTGAAGGTTGTTAGTGAGTCTTCCTCCAATCCTGATGGTAAATTCTTCTGCATATAGTTCAACTTCTTGGATTATTTGCTCAGCATACAGATTGAAAAAGTATGTGAAAGGACATAATCTTGATGCACACTTTTCTTGATTTCAAACCACACAATATCCTCTTGTTCTGTTAGAACTGTACAAGTCCCTGATGAGTACACTTAATTATTCTAGAATTCCCATTCTTCACAATGTCCTGTTAGGATCCACACAGTACAACACCTTTGCACAGTCTTTGCTTTCAGCCAAGATCCATCTTACATCAGCAATAATATCCCTTGTCCCACATCCTTTTCTGAATCTGACTTGAATTTCTGGCAGTTCCTGTCGATGTGCTGCTGCAACCATTTTTATATTATCTTCAGCAGAATCTTGTGTGTGATATTAATGATATGGTTCAGTGATTGCCACATTCTGTTGAATCACCTTTCTTTGGAATGGGCACATATGCAGATCTCTTCCAACTGATTGGCCAGGTAGCTATCATCCAAGTTTCTTGGTATAAACAAGTGAGTGCCTCCAGTACTGCATTCATTAAGGGAGAATAGGGAAAGAATCTACCAATCTTGATCCAAAAAAGGTTTCATGGAAGGGCTAGCATCTAAACAGTCTTGAATGTCAGTATAATTTGGGTAACCAATGATAAAGGAAAGGAGGGAATTCTAAATTTTAGGTCAGGATGAACAGGATGTTAAGGTGCAGAGTGTAACTGTATGATTTGTACTAGCCTGAGATGCCTTGGATATCAGTAAGTCACGTAAAAATAATTAAAAAGCAATCTTCAAAGTAGTTTTCAAGAAAATGCCAAGGCAAGGACAAGGGTGTGTTGCATTCATCATGCACAGCAGAACTTTGTATTATCTTTTTTCTTCATTTCTCTCTTGAATCTTCCACATGAATGGCCATGTATGGCAGCTGCTCCCAGATTCTTTTCTTCTCCCATGCTCTAAAGCCTTTTAAATAGCTTCCTAACACAGGCTATGTACATGTTTTTGTCTCCTCTGCCTCTTTTTCTAGCTATAGTTTTTCTTCTCTTGTTCTTTCCAATGAAAATCCATCTAGCTTAGATTCTCCAGTCTGTCATTCACCCATTACCCTTACCTATTTTATAAAGGCTTAGGAGCCAATTAGGGAAAAGAGAACGCTCCCTGATAGGCTGAAAGAGGAGAGATGCCAAAGATACATTTATGTTTATAATGTTTTCCTCTTATATTTGAAAAATAACAAGTATGCTTTGCTTATGTTTTTCCTTACTGAAGGCAGAAAATCAAGAAATCATTTTATATAGATAGACAATATGGACTATGCAAAGATCTAGTAGGAGATGAGACTGGGAAAGTAGCCATATGAGCTAATACATATTGAGCATTCACTATGTGCCATGCAGTATTTATCTTTGAAGGCCTTGCTGGGCAGTATGAACTTTATTCCCCACCTCTTGGAAGATTTGTGATTAGAAGAAAGAGATGTTCACATTATACTTTAAGATCTACCTGTAAGATTAATCCCCATAAAATGGATTGGATGGAGGCAAAAATGAGAGGCAGGAATACCAATGAAGAAGCTTAAAAGTCTAGTTAAGAAGTGCTCAGGATCTTTCATATTAGGCTTTTCTGTCTGTAAGGAAGAGAGGCTTAATATATAAGGCCATTTTAATATATAATGTTTGTTGAAAGAAAATGCAAAGATTGTGACAAGAACTAGACCTGAGCACCCTCAGGATTCAAGACAGCTTGGAGGATGGGTGACTCCATCTTTCTCTCTCATGGTCTCTCCCCAACAACTCCTTATGCCTGCCCCACTCTCCTTTTGGGCTAGAAGGCTCATCCTCTCTTTAGTTGCACATCCCAACCACAGAGGAAACCTCTCAAGAAGATTCAATTAATTAAATTACCCCTCTAGCCAACCTCAAGGAGCCCTGGTAGCACAACAGTTAAATGCCAACGAAAAGGCTGGCATTTCAAATCCAGTCGTCATCTCCATAGGAGAAAGACCTGGTGATCTGCTTCCATAAAGATTACAGCCAAGAAAACCCTATGGGGTGGTTCTACTCTGTCACATGGGTTGCTGTGAGTCAAAAATTGACTTAACGGCACCCAACAATAACATAGGTGTCCAGAGTCAGCAGCCTCTTTGTACAAAGAACAGCTGATCACTCCTTCCTTGAATAGTGGGCTATAGTTTGGACAATTGGATAAAGTCAGTATCATAATTAATAATTCTACTGGTACTATGTTTGGAGAAGAGGTAATAATGAGTTTTATCTTAGGCCAAAATCAATTCCATTAAGTACCATTCCTCATTATGTCATAGCTAGCACTAAAACCTTGATCAAGTCACTAATCTTCTCTATCCTTAATTGTTCCATCATTCAAATGACCATGAAAGTAACAAGACTTTAAAATAGCACTTCAAATTACTAGCCACATTTAGTTAACATGAGGTTTCACTTTTGTGCGGCTTCTGGTAAACTGAAAATAATACCTCATATGCATAATTCCAGTTTGCAAATCAAGTTCACATCCATTTGACTTGACCCTCACAAGAACCCCTTATGGTAGGTAAGACAGATATCATTACCTCCATTTTTCTAAAATTCAGAGAGGTCACATGACTTATTCAATGTCACAAAGCTATCAAGTGACAAAGCCAAGTACTTGAACTTTCATCTTCAACCCCCAATTCCAATGTGTTTCTCCTCTTGCTGCATCTCACAAAAGGAATTGCATATGGCAGATATGTTGTAGACATTAAAATTGTTGTTTTCCTGCGCTTCTTAGCTCTTATTTTTTTTTTTTTATGTCTCTCCTGTTCTTCTAAATTTCTAATTACAGAGGTCTCTGATTGACTTTTATCAATGAAAGGTTTGGTTGAAAAGTTCCAAGACTTCCCTTGGCATTGATCCTTGTTTCCTGAATTGCAGGGAAGCACTCCATCACAGTCACCACTCTTACCTCAGCTGGGAACATCGGGGAGGATGGAATCCTGAGCTGCAGTTTTGAACCTGATATCAAACTTTCTGATATTGTGATACAGTGGCTGAAGGAAGGTGTTATGGGCTTGGTCCATGAGTTCAAAGAAGGAAAAGATGATCTGTCAGACCAGGATGAAATGTTCAGAGGCCGGACAGCAGTGTTTACTGATCAAGTGATAGTTGGCAATGCCTCTCTGAGGCTGAAAAACGTGCAACTCACAGATGCTGGCACATACAAATGTTTTATCATCACTTCTAAGGGCAAGGGGAATGCTAACTTGGAGTATAAAACTGGAGGTAAGTTACTGTTGGGGAAAGAAAAATCATCAAAAGATATTTGAGTCTAAAGAGTAGGAACTGCTGATGAAATATTGTGTTATATTCATATGCTAGACAAAGACCTTCCCAATTCTGTTAGCAGCCATCCTTGCCTTTTATGTCTAAGATCCCACTTGCCCCAAAAGTAGCCCACTATAATATTAGGAGGAGTCCCTAGGTGGCACAATCAGTTAGGTGCTTAACTACCTGCTGTAAGGTTGGCACTTCAAGCCTACTCAAAGGCACCTCAGAAGACAGGCCTGACAATCTGCTTCTGAAAGGTCACAGCCTTAAAAGCCCTATAGAACAGTTCTACTATGCACTCATGGCATTGCCATGAATCAGAATCAACTCAACAGCAACTAACAACAACAAACAATAATATCAGGTCTTAAAATCTTTTGTTCTGGGCTCTAGCCTCTTTGGAGGTATAGTCCCTGAAATATTTTGTCAAGACAAATATAGCTTCCTTTATGTAGGCCCCTGCTATTGCTAATAACAGAAGCTCATAATTTGGCTTGGGACTTTGCTATGCTAAGTAGGCCCTAACCCAAGTCTAAAGAAGTACCTCTAGGGATTCATGACAGTGGAGACCATTCAAATAGAAGCTCAAAGAGAACTAACCAAAACAAATTATTGATATATCAATTCATTAATCCTCTTCCAAGAAAATCAGCTCTTCCTTACCAACCCACTTCAACACATGTCTTCTGTATTTATATACAAAAGAATCAGCTAGATACTGTGAGGGATACAAAGATGATTAATAAAATGAAGATGATTGTTCCTCCCCTTGCAGAGCTTATAGTGTAAAACCTACAGAGTTGAAGGTCAAAGTAGATATAAGAAAACTATGTCATTACCTATAATAATTGGTAAAGTGTAACAAACGTCTTAAGAGAAATAATATAAAAAGAGTGACTCAGGAATTCAGAGCAAGAGAAGGATCACATCCCAAAGCATAGGGAGGGAGAGGATAAGAAAGCTCCCAGAGAGAAATAACACTTGAGAGGAATCTTAAAGGATAGGCAGAAAGTCTCCTAGATTAAGCTGGCCAACACAGTTGGTTCTTGACTCCTCATAACATGTGTAGTGTAATCTACACAGATCTACAGTCAGTCCTGGGCAAATGCAGTGGCTTGAGCAAGCCAACCTCTCCCCATCTGTCAAGAGAAGCTTGTATGTTGGTATGATACTTAACAAGTTTCAGTGGAACTTCCAGACTAAGACTAGGAATAAAAGCCTGGTAACCTACTTCTAAGGAGCTCTGGTGACATAGTGAGTAAGGCATTTGACTGCTAACTAGAAGGTTCAAACCCACCAGCTGCTCAACAGAAGGAAGATGGGGTGATCTAGTTCCATAAAGATTTACAGCCTTGGAAACCCGATGGAGGTTGCTATGAGTTGGAATCAACTCAATGGCAGTGGGTTTTTTTTTTTTTTTTTTTTTTTTTTTTGGTTTAATCTACTTCTGAGAATCAGCCAATGAAAACCCTGTGGATCACAATGGTCTAGTCCATAACTAATCATGGAGCTGGTACAGGACCAAGCAGCATTTCATTCCATTGAGCATAGAGGTGCCACTGAGTCGGGGGCCAACACCATGGCAGCTAACAACAGCAACAACAACAAAGTGAGAATTAATGGGGTCATGTCAAAGACACACAGGTGCCAACTGAAAGAGCTTCCAATGGCAAAGCCGGAATAATGTGAGCAACAAAGTAACATAATACTGAATTATAATTCAAAGTATAAAGTAAATATATATGAGTGGATAATGATATAAATAAATGTGGGAGAAGAGACAAATCTTCCTTACAGAAGAACCCAAAATAATTTATGTAGATATCTTCCCTTCTAGGAGGGAGAACTCAGTATCCCTGTCCACTGTCTGATGGTAGGCTAGACTTAGTAAAGAAGAAACTTGGCAAATACTACCTTGGCCAGATAATTAAGGTTAATATCATCAGTGTTAAGTCATATTGGTAGCAGATGCCCTCCGATATGATGTAATAAAAAGGGTACTTCACCTCTATGGTCTTCCTCCCCAAAACTCACAACCCTAGTTAATATCTTGCAAATTGTGGAACATTCTACAAAATGTTCTGATCAATCCTTTCAAAACTGTCAAAGTCATGAAAAACACACAAAGACTGAGAAAGTATCACAGACCAGAGGAGCCTGAGGAGACATGACAACTAAATGCAGTGTGGCATCTTGGATAGGGTCCTAAACAGAAAAAGGACATTAGTGTAAAACTGGTGCAATCCAAATAAAATATGGAGTTTAGGAATAGTAATGAACCAATTACAGTTTCTCAGTTTTGTCTAACATCTCTCTCTCTCTCTCTCTCACTGCTGTCAAGTTGGATCTGACTCATAACAACCCCTCCTCCTTGGGTTTCCGAGGTGGTATTACTATGGAAGTAGATTGCCCAACCTTCCTTCCGAGGAGTGGCTCTTGGGTTTGAACCACCAGCCTTCTGGTTAGTAGTCAAATGCCTTAGGTACTACACCACCAGATGTTAAATATTAGGGTAAACTGGGTAATGCATACATAGGAACTCTTTGTATTCAATCTTACAACCTTTCTTTAATCTAAAATTGTTCCAAAATAAAAAGTTTATTTTAAAAAATGGGGGTAATAATAGATATTCCTAAGACTATTTTAAGGATCAAATAAAATAATGTCTGGGGGGTAGTCCCCAGTACTTGGCATTAAGAACACTCTGCACAAGTGGTAGTTCATTGTCATGTATACTTGGTTTCCCATATCATCTCCCAGAGCTTGTTCTCTGCCTCCTCCAAGCATGAGTCTTGTCTCCTCTGCTAGAATGCAGGGTCATCAAGATCAACCCTAGGGCTTTTCTTTCATCACTCACTCAGCACCAGTACAATCCTGGGCAAAACAAGATGCTAAATAAATAAATAAATGGTCATTGTAGGAGGAGTTGCTATGAGTCAGATATGACTTGACGGCAGTGTGTTTGGTGTTTGATTTTGTAGCATAATAAGCATTTTATAGTTAGCAGTCCACAAGTCTCTGTCTGCCTAGACATAGCAGAAAGCTAGTCTTAATTTCAAAATGCAGTTACCTCCCCAGTGAGAATTATCTTAGTAGAGGAAATTAAATGCCTGTCTCTATTCCTGGATGCCAAGCAGCCAAATCCCTGTGATGACAAGGTTTGTGTGTGGGAATTTCTGTGGGTGACAAGTGAATGCTGTTTCTTTCTTCTCCTTCCTTCCTCCCCACTCTATAACTTTATCTTCCTGTCAGAAAATTACATAAAACCTAGGAGATTGCAGAGGTCTCTGGGAAAATGCCCAATTGCCCTTAGTGATAAACTTTGTTGTGATCACCAGAGCTTCTTTTACTTTAGAAAATTATCTATTGTAATAATAATATACCTAGAACTTAGGTACCTGAGTTCTCTTGGCCAAAGGGTTGTGATGCATGGCAGTACAGTGAGCAAATCATTATTTGCATTTACAACACAATGGACTATACACAAAGAGCCCCCTGGGGAAGCACTGAGTCACCTCAATGGTGAAAATAAATATTTTTGTTTTTAAGATCCAACATTTTAAAAGTTATATCATCTTATCTGTCTAAACTCATTATCTTCTCTTTTTGACATTTGACCCTGCAGCCTTCAGCATCCCAGAGGTGAATGTGGACTCTAATGCCAGTTCAGAGAGCTTGCGGTGTGAGGCCCCCAGATGGTTCCCTCAGCCCACAGTGGTCTGGGCATCCCAAGTTGACCAGGGAGCCAACTTCTCAGAATTCTCCAATACCAGCTTTGAGCTGAACTCTGAGAATGTGACCATGAAGGTGGTGTCTGTGCTCTATAACGTCACGATCAACAACACATACTCTTGTATGATTGAGAATGACATTGCCAAAGCCACAGGGGATATCAAAGTGACAGGTGGGTTCTTCCACACTTTTTGTACAGATTTATTGGGCAACAGAATCAAATCTAAACCAAAATCTAATTTCTTTACCAGATATATTATGTACTAGGGCACAAAAAGCAGTAAAGTTCTCTTCACCAAGACCTTGATCACAATTCCATTTGGAATCGCATTATGTAAAGGGAAGCCTAACATAAAACAATATTTATGGCATATAGATTAAAGATAGCAATTAGAGTTCATCTGGTATGCCTTTTGATTGGCAGCAGTTTCCTGGAGGGTAGTTTTAGGATTAAAAGGCCCTGTCTGATTTAAGAACTGTGTTGGCGTAGCAGTGGGAAATGCTGATTACTTGGCATTTTTTATATATTCAGCTGGTGGTCTACATCCCAAGCCCACCAAAACCGATTTGGATCTAGCCTGACTTTGAGAATGCTTTGCATCTAAAGACTGGAGGTCTTTGCATCTAAAAACTGGAGGTCCTAGAGTGTGGTTAAGTTTTATTACCCTCATGAGGCTGACAACTGATCCCACTAATACTGCCCCAGGATTAGTCAGAAAGCTCTAGGTTGAACTGGCCTCCCAGGCTGTGAAGACAAGGACTGAGAGGCCCATCAGCCTTGTTTCCCTGCAGTGCTTTAGCACATACAAAGCCTAGGCTTGAGGTAGTGCCAAGAAACTTCATGAACTGAATTATGACCTTTAAGACCATTTCTCCTAAGACGTAGATTGATACTGTAATAGAAGGAATATTTCAGAACTGTTGTCTATATCAAGAATAGTATCAGGTAGAATACCTTGCACACTGCTGGTACCCTGTAAATGTTTGCTGAATTTAACTAAATAAGTCATATTCTTAGCAGCTTATATATTTTAACTTAAAATTATACGTATGAAAGAGAACTCTTCCACCATCTTGAGGAACAAATTGGTAACTGTACTAGTTACGGCTTAGTTACTCATTACAGAAAACTCACTCAAATAAGTGTAACTAACAAGATAACTTATTTAGAAGGTACTGTAATGTTTACTAGAATCAAGGACAGAGAGCATACAGAAAATTTGGATTCAGGAAAAACTGGAACCAGGACTTAAATTTCATTGGGATTCTTTGTTTCTTACTTCTGATTTATTCTCTCCTGCTTCAGAATAAGAAATTCTGGTGGTGTAGTGCCTAAGGCAGTTGACCGTTAACCAGAAGGTTGGTGATTCAAACCCACCAGCCACTCTGTGGAAAGAAGATGGTGCAATCTACTTCTGTAAAGATTTACCAACTCAGTACATGGGCAGTACAGACAACAAATATGAACCCTTTTGCATATACAGTACTGAGTTGTCAGTGAAAGCAAACATGGGTATAGGGACGGATAGATAGGTGAACAAGCTAAACAATTAGGTATGTCTAAATGGAGAGTGTATCCAAGATCATATATAGGGTTGGCAGACAATGGGCCTATAAGTTCA